TTAGTTGTGGTGAACTAAATTAATATTGGTAAGAAGTGGGAAAAGTAAGGAGAAAAAAGGCTTCTGGACTGATTTTATTTCCAGACATTACAATCTTATTTAAAATGATTTGGATTATTCAATCAGAATTTATTCACATAAACAGAAAATTCAGTTAGTTGTCAAAACAACTAACTGTGTGTGTGTGTATATATATATATATATATATATATATATATAGTGTGTGTGTAATTTATATATTTATATTTTATTATAATAATTTTTAAAGTCATTTAAAATTTTACAAAATTCATTATTATATTTTGTATTATTATATTTTTTCTGTAGAGATTTAGTAAGTAAATAAATAAATGTGTCCTCAGATGATAACGGACTGAACCCTATATGGCTCGGGCCGAACTATCAGCCTTCGGAGGCATTTACTTTCAGCGTGTATGAACCAGACCTCACCTTTCTGCGCTTTGTGGTCTTTGAGGAGGACATGTTCTCTGATCCCAACTTCCTGGCCCAGGCTACGTTCCCTGTGAAAGCTGTTCGCTCAGGTAAGTCTATCAGCTTCATTCAATTATTGTTTTGTGAAACAGTGTGCAAATGAAAGCAGATTTAAGTACAAATACTGAGTTGCTGCTTTCACAGGGTACAGATCAGTCCCTTTAAAGAATGGCTTTAGTGAAAATCTGGAGCTGGCATCTCTACTGGTGTATGTTGATATACAGCAGGTGGAGGTAAGAAACATCTTTTAAAACAGGCTTTTTGTTGATGATGTAATAAATTATTTTAAGAAAAGAATATCTCATTTTATTTTATTGAGAATATTATGTTAGTGTAATGGAAATCCCCTGTCATATCTGACTTGTTTCTTCAGAAAGCGCAGGAGGAACTTTACTCCTCCTCGAAACAGTTGCAAAAGAAGCAGGCGGAGTTAAGCAACGAGTTCTGTCTCTACAACTCTCACTCCAACCTGCAGCGCAGTGCGGCCCCCTGATTTCATGTACTCGGAAAAAAATCAACAACAGCAAGTTCTACTCGTGAGGAAAACTAGCAAGTCTAGTTCCCTTCCGGTCTGGTTCTAATGCTCTTATGGGTCTCTTCCTCTCGGTTCTGCTGCTCTATTACTACTGGTTCCCTAACAGGCCCCAAAGACAGGAAGTTGCAGCCATCTCACTTTTGTGGTCACACAGGAACAAATCGCAAAGAGAGTTTGAGCAATACTCACGGGTGAATTCTCAGTGGAAGGTGTAGCTACAGCCCAGAAGTTGTAAAACTCTTTAAATTGAGGGCATGAAAACAGCATGAAGGTTTTTTGTTTGTTTTTTTGCAACTGTGAAACTGTTCATCTGCTGTCTTCATTTGATTGTAACATTTCATTTGCAGCTGTATTAAATGTTTCCTTATTGTCTGAAAATTTAAAATAGCAAACAAGACATGTTATTTATTTGGTTTCTTTCTTGTTTTTAATATGCATAGGACGTTTTATCAGGTTTGTTTGGATATGTAAGCGATAATGCACAGTCTGACAGTTGTTATCTCAAAATAAATGACTTGCTTGTTTTTGTTTTTTTTGGTATAATGGCCATCTGTTTGTACATTATCTCGACTATTACACAGCTACTCACCAAATAAATAAATATGTGGACACGAAATGTTGAATGATGTTTTTTATGCTTTTATTTGTTTATTGTCCTAAAGCTTTCACTATAAGAAAAATGTATAATACACCACATTTTCAGCCTGTTAACAAGACAAACACTGCAATATTATTACAATAATCTCATTCTCACTGCAACTGATAACTTGCCCATAAACAATGTCAGTATAGGAAGCAGAAAATATCAAGAATCAGGTGTTCCAGATATAAAATATAATAAAAACAGGCAGTAAAAGTGCACAGTGTTGCAAAGATATAAGAAGCCTGTCTGACCTTGTTGATTTTAACAATGAGGTATTTTAGCAATCATGCTGTCATTTACAACATGCTGCTGTCTGCGACTTCAGATAGGGACTTCAAAAACGAAGTGCTTGGCTTATATCTGACTTCAGCTCTTGTGATGACATTTCATAATCTCTCATGTAAGCATTTAGTTCTGCAACTGGGGCAAACCATTTGACCAAGATTCACATTAAGCAATCTCAGACAGCTTTCTGCAGTCTCCACTGGTTAAACACAGTTGCTCGTTTTTGATAGTCTGGCCAGATCCCACTATTGAAGTGAAGCTTCTGTCTCCCATTGAACCTGAACATTACAGTATGCAAAACAGTGTTTGTCTGTAGAGGATGTGGGGTTTAATGTAACATAAAACGGGATCTTTAACAAGACATATCAGCAAATATCTGGAACAAATATCAAAAACCCTTAGATGATTCAAGTTTAGGATCAGAAATGAATAAAGAAAGTCTTCGTTCCTATTACAAAGACTGATCAAGACTTTTTACTCATTTGTGTTTTACAAACATTAAAGGTCAAGCAGAACATCATCATCAGTAAAAAGAGAGAAAAAAAGAAAAAAAAAATGCTGCATACAGCTGATTGCAAGGAATATGAGGTTAATAATGGTTCATGCACACTACATGTAGGGTTATTATACTTAAATTATACTCAAAATTAGAGAACAACCTACAATTTCCAAAATTTCAAGGTCACTCCTTAGTCCGATTTGATTTGAAGTTATCCTAACAGGAGTAGAAGGGCAGTTTTTAAGCATATTTCATAAATTAATTGTATTCTGAAACACAGTAAAAAAAACTTAAATGAGATATTTGAAAATAACTGACTAGAGAACACTTACAGATACCTCCAAGTTCTTGGTGTTAATCTGGCACCTGGTGCTAATTTATATGACAAACCTTATTTAACTGATAGCATTCCTCCAATTTTCACTGAGATTACAAGATAGCGGGCCGCTCTAAGGTGACTGAAACCCTGCGAGGAGACGGCTATTGCAAGAGAGTTGGTCATTCCAAATCTGTGATTTCTCAAATATTGCAGCTTTACAATGACATTAGTCCTCCAAAAAGGCCACGTCCACGTAAGAAAAATGGATGAGAAGACAGGATAATGCGGAGACTCACCTTTGCTGTCGTTGTTGTGTGGAGAGAGGAGAACTGGTCCAAAGTTCACTTTAGTGATGAGAGCAAGTTTAATTTATTTGGGTCTGATGGGAAACATTTTGTTCGGCGTCAAACTGAGGAGAGACTGAAGCCCAAGTGTGTAAAGAAGTCAGTGAAAGGTGGAGGAGGAAATGTCATGGTTTGGGGGATGTTTTCTGCAGCAGGAGTTGGGCCTCTTATACAGATACATGGCAGGTGAATGCAAATGTTTATCAGAACCTCCTACAGCAACATGCTGTTTCTTCCCTGCAAGCATCTCCAAATCAGCCTGCAATTTTCATGCAAGACAATGCACCTGTCACACTGCAAAACAGGTAAAGCAGTTCCTTGAAGCTAAGAACATTGAAATAATGAAATGGCCGGCCCAGAGTCCTGATCTCTGGAAAATCCTTGGTAACAAAGTTATGGCTAAAAAAAACCACTACAGTTACTAAACTATGGAAGAGAGCAGAAGAAGAGTGGATCAAGATCACACCAGCGCAGTCTGAAAACTATGTCCTGTGGCCGCAGATGTGCTGAAGTCATTCAAAGCAAGGGCCTCTACACTTCCTACTAATTTCTGACAGCTGTAACCCTCCAAAATTTTAGTTGTAATTTTTCGTGCAACAGTGGTTACTGTTCTCTAATTTTCATCACTGTGTTTTACACAAAATAAAGTTTTTTGTTGAAATGCCTTGATTATTTTGTCAAACATGTTAGTATAGTGGTATACCTATACAGCTAATATTCCTTCAAATTTTGAGCGATAAAGATTAACAATATTTGAACGATGAAGTTTAACCATTTCAGAAAAATCTAGTATTTATAGATTGTTCTCTAATTTTGATCTTCACTGTGTGTGTGCATATATATATATATATATATATATATATTATTAATTTCAGCTATTTGCCAAGGAATCATTTTTTTCATTTTTATTTAGTTTAACTTTATGTAATAAAATAATTAATTAATTAATTATTCATTAAAATTATATAGACATATTTGGGTGAAAAAAACTAATAAAATTTAAATTTAAATTTAAAATTTCACACACACACACACACACACACACACACACACAATACATATAATAGTATCTTAAGGAAACACTGTATACATATTATTTGTGATTTTTAAAAATGTTTTTAAGGACACTAATAAGGAAGATTATTAGGGTTTATAACTTGCAACTTAAAATATCATGTTTTATCTTCTGTCTGGTGCAGTGAAAATATTTAGTTTTTCAATATGGCGATTTTAAAAGCTAGAAAGCAAAAAACCTCGAAAGCATATTTTGTGACAACTGTTAACTTCAGGAAATTGCACATCAGATATATCTCTCACCCGATCTCTCTCTTTCCAGTAAAATCCACTTCTTCTCACAAATTCTTTACATTTTTCTCCACCCCCTTGTTTTAAAAACAAAATGTCTGTGCCACTGTTTGTCTTATAAAATTTTCAATTTCTGCTTGAGAGCATTTTTTATAGATAGAATTTGGAAGATAGAGCTTTCCAAATATTGGTTTGGGGGCTTGTGGCATTTCAAATACAGGTATTTACTGTACTTAATAATTTGGTTTACTTTAAACCAATTCACAGGTAACTTTCATGAAAATGATTTGGGAAGATGATTTTATTTCCTCTCTTGTCCTCTGGAAATGCCTGCTTTTCATCATAGGAAATAAGAAAGCTGATTATGCCACAGGATGTGATTTTTCTCAAGACTGGTTTGGGGAATAACCACTAGACGCCATTTCTCAGTTTGCTTTGCGCACAGAATCAGGAAGGTAAGTGCGTCTGAATATACATCATTTAACTTTTAACAGTTCTTGTTTTGATAAACATAAAAGTGTAAAGCAATCTGATGCCAAAAGCTCTGCCTCTTTACTCTGTGTGTGTCAGATGCAGTGATGGTGGACGGCAGTGAGCGGCATGAGCTGATAGAGGATGAGAGGAGTTGGGTTACTGGGCATCTGCAGACGGGGACTGAAATGATGGTGTATCAGCTGAGGGCTGAAAGACTCACTGTCCAGGTCATTATGGAGAGCATGCAGGTGGCCTTGATACGCTCTGACGACAGGATAGTCAGAGTGTGTAAGTCGCTTCCTTGAAAGTAGACTTGAATCAAATCAATAAATTAATGCTTTTTAAAATAGCAGTTATATTATTTTACACTAATGTCTAAGAAAGTGGTCCTAAGTTCCTACTTACGCACTAATTCTGGCCTCAATTTTCAGAAGATGTGCTTATGCAAGCACTGGTATTTATTCAAAGAAATACTGATGATATACTGTAGCTTATAAATTCGGTTTTGTATTTTACTACATCTGTGTTTATGTATCGCAGTGGACATTTTTGAGTTCAAGGAGGTTCGCAAGTGGGAGACTTTCAAAGATTTCCAGCGATTTAATGAGAGCAGGGGCAGTAAATTTCGACGAATCTTTTGCCAATCTGAAAAAGAGCTCCAGCAGGACAACAAAACCTGTTTCACCATTTTCTATGGATCAGAGTTTATTTTAAAATCGCTGAGTCTAAAAGGTATGTAACAAGTTCCTCACGCATTTTAAGTTCACAATAAGGCAACAAGATGTTTATTTAGTAGGCTAGCATATAACAACTGTTATAGCTATACTAGCATTCAATGGTTTGGGGTCTGTAAGATTTTATTTTATTTTTTAAATACATTTTGTTAAGCAAGGATGCATTAAATTGATCTAAAGAAGATTTCTATTACAAATAAACGCTGTTCTATTGAACTTTATATTTATGAAATAATCCTTTAAAAATGTAATTTTTTCCACAAAAATATTAAGCAACACAACCGTTTTCAACATTAATAATGAATAAGAAATGTTTCTTAAGCACCAAATCAGCATATTAGAATGATTTCTGAAAGATCATGTCACACTGAAGCCTGGAGCAATGGCTGCTGAAAATTCAGCTTTGCATCACAGGAATAAATTACATTTTAAAATATATTAAAATAGAAACGGCTATTTAAATTGTAATAATATTTCAGAATATTACTGTGTTTACTGTTTTTGATCAAACAATTGCAGCCTTGGTGAGCATAATAGACTTCTTTCAAAAACGTTCAAAAATCTTGACCCCAAACTTTCGAACCATAATAATAATGTTGTCCAAGCTAGTTCATGCTAGTTAGTATTACAGCATATGCATATTTCCCACCAGCAAAACTTAACTAATGAAGCTGGTCTTTTTGGTTGACCAAAGAAGTCTTGCTGGTTAAGCTATAGCTAAAAAGGGACAGCAGTACAGTATCATCACCAACATCTAAAACATAACATATGCTGGTAAACAGATATGCTAGCAATAGTACACTTACCAGAATGGTCCCAATGGAGCACCCTGAGGTTTCAAGTCTCAGTGTGGTGGACAATCATGATCATCTCACCACTTCATTTTGTCAATATGATAGTCTTGTTGTGCTTATTCTGTAAGAGCCTTTGCTGTTCCACAGCTGATTCAGTGGAGGATGCAGAGAAATGGCTGACAGGACTAGAGTTACTCAGACAAGAGACACTGACGGCTCACACACCAGAGATTATAGAGAGGTACACACACACACACACACACACACACACACACACACACACACACACACACACACACACACACACACATATAGATAGTGTACCTTGTGTATCCATAAACCATAATACAAATCAACAAACATTTCATTCTTTGTTTTTCCCTCTACTGTAGTTGGCTGAGGAAGCAGATGTACTCGGTTGATCAATCAAAGAAAAACAGGTTCTCCTTTTCTCTTTCGCCTTCTTCTCAACCAGTCTCACTTTTGTTTCGGTCTCAGCTCATTATTGTTTCTCTCTCAGCATCACCCTGAAAGAGCTCAAGTCTCTTTTGCCACAGATGAACTTCACTGTACCAGGTGGACATTTTCTGGAGGACAGATTTGTGGTACAAATAATAGTGAAACACTGAATTCTCCATTTACATTTATGCATTTACAGATGCTTTTATCTGAAGCGAGTTGGGATTTGCATTTTACACTATCTACTCTCTAAGGAGTAGTTTTGTTTGTTTTTTTAAACACATTTAACACAAGTGTATTTTCAGGAGGTGGAAGCAAAAGATTATTGCCTGGATATTCAGCAGTTTCACAAATTCTACAATTTTTTAATATTTGAAAACCAGAAGATGGTTAGTGTGCAGTTTATTTATTTTTTAATGTTTCATTGTATTTAATTGTTATTTGAGTATCAGTTCCATTATTTATCAATGTTATTTGTAGTATTGAATGGAACATTTACTTGTTTAAGCATGATAAAAAAAAATTCATTTTTTATTTTTATGATTTGTTATTAGTTGCTAGAAGAGTTTGAAAAGGGGCCTGCAGCTTTCATAATAAGGTAACAAAATTTTAAAGGAGCCATATCATGATAATTTTACTTGATTAAAAAAATAAATAAATATGTGTACTATGAAAACTATATTTGTTTTTATATGTATTTCTCTGCAGTAATACTGATAGTCCTGAATCTTCTATAGTTCCCCTCTATGATTTTCAAAACTTTCTTTTATATCGACAGAAGGTAAGACCAATGTCTTCCTTGAATATTATCTTATCTTTTATACATCTAGCCTACTGTTTAAAAGTTTGGGGTCTGTGCGATTTTTTATATATTTGAATGAAGAATCTTATGCTCACCAAAGCAAATAATATTCTAAAATATTATTACAATTTAAAATGACTGTTTTCTATTTTAATATATTTAAAAATGTAATTTATTCCTTTGATGGCAAAGCTGAATTTTCAGCAGCCATTATTCCAGTGTCACATGATCCTTTAGAAATCATTCTAATATGCTGATTTGCTGCTCAAGAAACATGTCTTTTTGAGTATGAATGTTGAAAAGAAATATTTAATTTGAAAATCAACTGTATATTTGTTTTCTGACCGTAGGAGGCCTGGGCCAAAAATTTGAACCGGGTTCAGGAGTTGATGACCATTTTCATCGATGACACCATGAGGAAGACCAACGATCCAACGCTTACTGTTGGAGAGGTACAAGTTATAGAGATCTGTTTAGTTTGATGTCAACACGTGAAATAAATCTATAAAACAGAAAATCAGTACAAAATGTTTCTGTCTTTCTAGTTCCTCAGTTTTCTCTTCTCCAAAGAGAACTCGATTTGGGATGAGAAGTTCTCTGAGATTTGCCCACTGGACATGAACAATCCTCTGTCACACTACTGGATCAACTCTTCTCACAACACGTCAGTGCTGCAGTTCTTCATGCTCTTAACACACATGCAGCAGTTTCTCCTCTTCATGATGAACTTCCTGTGCTACTTCATGTGTTTTGCTTTTATTCACAGATATTTGACTGGAGATCAACTGCGCAGTGAGTCCTCAACAGAAGCTTATGTGCGCTGCCTGAGGCTGGGTTGCCGCTGTATTGAATGTCAGTGAACAACGTACCAGTTTTGCTTAGAAAACTTTTATATTGCATGGTTATAATTCCTATTATTTGATATCGGGCCCTATGTTATTATGTATTCTGTTTTGTGTAATGCAGTGGACTGCTGGAATGGTCCAGAAGAACCTGTCATATACCATGGAAGGACCATGACCTCCAAGATAAAGTTTAAGGATGTGGTGAAGGCCATCAATGATCATGCTTTTATAACATCTGAGTTAGTAATCAACCACACACACATTGAATTATCATTGTGCAATGTAAATGTAACATTCAACAATCTTATTTTCATCTCTTTTGGCAGGTATCCTGTGGTGCTGTCCATAGAAGAACACTGTGACATCAAGCAGCAGAAAATGATGGCTCAGATGTTACGAGATGTTTTCCAAGATAAGCTCCTGACTGAGCCGCTGGAACCAGAAGCAGATGATCTACCCTCACCAAACCAGCTGAAAGGCAAGATCATCATCAAGGTGGGGAAAAAAGTCAAATTTGTCAGCTGACGTGGTTGAACTAAATTTAGTAGGAAAAACTGCAGAGATCCTTCAGTTGCTTCAGTCTCTAATGTAACATGACTTATGAAGATTTCAGTGTGTAGCAGACTAGGAATATACATTTTGTAGTATCATCATTAAAGTGCATGATTCCCTGTTTATTCTCTTCAACAGCACCAGAAAATAAAAGAGAGCAATCACACTGTTAAGGTATCCACAAAACATGCTTTCCAAAAAATATAAAATGTAAACAACTGCTTTTTTACATTTACATTTACATTTACATTTAGTCATTTAGCAGACGCTTTTATCCAAAGCGACTTACAATTGGGGGATACATAAAGCGATTCTTCTTAAGAGGCAAACAGACACAGGAAGTGGTTGTAATACCAAGTTCTTAGACATTGTTCAAATAAGTACAAGCTAGAAAGAGAAGGAATAAATAAAGAGAGAGAGTTTTTTTTTTTATTTATTTTTTTTAATTTATTTATTTTTAAAAAAAATTTTTTTTTTATGATGAAGTCAAGTAGCTTCGAAAGAGATGGGTTTTCAGCTGTCGCTTGAAAATTGTCAGGGATTCAGCATTCCGGATAGGGGTGGGAAGATTGTTCCACCAGCCAGGAGTGGTGAACGAGAATGTTCTGGAAAGTGATTTTGAGCCTCTCTGTGATGGTACCACGAGGCGTCGCTCACTAGCGGATCTCAGACTTCTGAAGGGGATGTAGATTCGTAGTAGTGAGTGGAAGTAGGCGGGTGCTGAGTCTGTGGCTGTTCTATATGCAAGCATCAATGTCTTGAACTTGATTCGAGCCGCAACCGGTAGCCAGTGCAAGGAGATAAAGAGAGGTGTAACATGGGCTCTTTTGGGCTCGTTGAAGACCAGTCGTACCGCTGCATTCTGAATCATTTGTAGAGGTTTGATTGTGCTTGATGGAAGTCCAGCCAGAAGAGCATTGCAGTAGTCCAGCCTAGAGATGACAAGGGCCTGGACAAGAAGTTGTGCAGCATGCTCCGTTAGAAAGGGCCTGATCTTTCTGATGTTGTGCAATGCAAACCTGCAAGATCGAGCGGTCTTTGCAATGTGGTCTTTGAAGGTCAGCTGGTTATCAAAAGTTACACCAAGATTTCTGACCGAAGTTGATGGGGTAATTGTAGAAGAACCTAGCTGGATGGAGAAATCACTCATGTAACAAACAACCCAAACTCTGTTTATGTATAATATGAAATATTAATTAAGTCCATTACATTGGGGGAATTTAGGCTTTGTTTACACTACATGCAATTCAAAAGAATGTTTTTTTAAATCCGACATACAGTATATGAACATGGTCACAAACAGTATTTTTGTGTTAACACTGAAGCACATTGCATTTGTATGTGAGTGTGAACATAAAACGATGATGGATCTCTTAAAATTTGCTGAAAATGTACTCACCCTCAGGCCATCCAAGATGTAGATGAGTTTCATCACAGTAATCCACAAGTAATTGACTCCAGTCAATCAATTAACTTCTTGTTAAGCAAAAAGCTGTGTTTGTAAGAAACAAATCCATGATTAAAGCATTTGAACTTTAAACCATTGCATCTGGCCAAAATACAAGTCCAAAATCCATAAAAACGCTTCCTCCTAAGGGTGTGCGATATTGACAAAAAATAATATCTCGATATTTTCTGGGATTTTATCGATAACGATAATTAGACGATATTTTGCTGAGTGTGTTATTGTGCTGGTATCTTAAGGACTGCCGTGGACAGCTGACTCCTAAAGTTTTTGATATTCTTCATATTCTGTGTGATGGTCAGTTTACACTGATAGAAATGAATCTTTTCCAATATGTTTACATTTATTTTTACCTTTTTTTGGACATTTTTTACCTTTATAAAGCCATTTTTCCAAAAAAGTTATATTTTGAGTCAAATTCTTACATTTAATCAGTGAATTAGAATAATAAGACATTTGGGCTGTTACCAAGCAAATGAAATCAGTATCAACAAAATTCATCTTTTTTAATTAAAATGTAAATATTTAATAAAAAATTAAAACCGCCAGTAGGTGGCAGCAAGTCACTCTTAAAGGAGTGGTTGATTGCGATTTCACTTTTTTAACGTTAGTGTGTAATGTTGCTGTTTGAGCATAAACAATATCTGCAAAGTTGCTGTGCTGAAAGTTAAATGCAAACGGGAGATATCATCTTTTAAAATTCTGGCAGTTTAATGCCTACAAAAACGGCTTGTAGGGACTACAACAAGTTACTTCCTGGGTTCGTGACATCACAAACCCCGCCCCCGGGAACATGAAACGAAGGGGGTGAGGTCATGCTGCACTGCTTTAGAGAAGAGGAAGAGAAAACTAGGGGCGCACGTAAAAATCTATTCATATATGAATCGCGATTCTGTCTTCTAGGGTTGTGCCGATAGACGATAGTATCGTGTATCGACGATAGAGATATGGACGATAGCAGATGTCTTTGTCGATAGTCAAGACGATATTAGGCTCATTCTCCTATTAATGTATTAAATAATAATAATAATAATAATAATAATTATTATTATTATAATTTGGCGGCCCATATATATTATTATCAAATTGCCCCGCTTTTTCATTCAGCACTGTATTTCACACACACATGCGCAAATGAGGAGCCTGTAGCCGGTGAAGGAGTCTCCAACCACAAACACAGACACATATCGTCTGCTGATATAAGGTATTTCGTTGCACTTTAACAAGTAATCTGAACGGCCTATATATGTGCAATATTTTAACCGAGCCCTCACTAACTAAGTTTAATGCCACAGTTATGTTAGAAATAAAAGCTTTTAAATAGCTTGTAAAAGCAGCGTGCGCATTTTACTTTCACTTTCAAATAGAGGCAATTCCGTTGCACTTTAACAAGTAATCTGAACGGCCTATATATGTGCAATATTTTAACCGAGCCCTCACTAACTAAGTTTAATGCCACAGTTATGTTAGAAATAAAAGCTTTTAAATAGCTTGTAAAAGCAGCGTGCGCATTTTACTTTCACTTTCAAATAGCGGCAATTCGGCATAAAGCAATTGTTCGTTTGAATTTACCCTCTTTTCCTCGCTTTCCTTCGCTTTTAAATAGCTTAAATTGATTAACTCTATGACTATATGAACTATATGAAATGATATAAATATATACATTTTCTGTCCCCATATTTAGAATTTTGTGATCATTCTAAATGCATTTTAATAGACTGAATCATGTAGTGAAAGAACGCACTCTAAATGCGCACTCGCTAGTCTAGACTTCATGTAATGAAAGCATGCGCTCTGTAGGGGTGTTTTGAATGTTTTTGCAAAATACTCGATAATGTCAAATCGCACAACAACAATTACGATATTATCGCAGAAGATATATATCGCACACCCCTACATCACATTAACGGGAAACAATCTAAATGGGCAACAGTTATTTGGGACTGTTTTTGCTTGTAAACTGTGTTTGATCTGTGCATATTTCTCTACTGATTCAGACAAGAACTTTTTCACTTGAGAAAGCAATATTACGGATAGAGGTATTTTAGGTTTGCAGTGGAAGACGTCTTAATGATGAATTTGTTTATATAAATCATGTGGATTACTTGTGGATTATTGTGATGTTTTTATCAGCTGTTTGGACTCTCATTCTGACGGCACCCATTCACTGCAGAGGATCCATCAGTAGGCAAGTGATGTAATGCTAAATTTCTCTAAATCTGTTGCAACATCTTGGAAGGCCTGAGGATGAGTAAATTTTCAGGAAATTTTTTGAGTGACTGATTCTTTTAACATCTGACCTCATTCGTAACAGAATCAATGCACATGTTTGCATTCATTTTTTGATGTATCATATGTCAGTTTTCTGTTTGCTCTGAACAGCTGGAGGAAGAAAGGGGAAACACAACTGTGAAAAGAAAATTAGACAGCTTCAAGAAAATTGGAAACACTTACAGGGAGAAGGTGCACGTTTTACACATGTGTCTTTCTGTGATACATTTTTATTTTCCATATCAAACAGATTTTCTCCATCAGCGAATTTAAAATCTTTTTGCCAACAGTGTGTCAAATTTAAAGGATCTGATTGACGTTTTAGGAGGCAGCTTTAGGTCATTTCATAATTTCTCATATTTCAAAGCAGATAAGAAAAGCTAAAGAAAACCGTGTTGTGGAGAAGGAAGGAGAGCTTTGCATATGGGATCCAATAGATAAGGTGCTTTAAATTAATTTTTTGCTGTTACTCATTCATAGTCATAATAATAACTTATTCATAGATGATAATTTATATATTTTCAATCTAGAGGTTTTACAGGCATGACTGTGTGATCTCAGATAATAAGCTATACTATTCTGAAGAGAAGTTGGAGGAAGACAGTCCTGAGGTAAGTGACTCATTGTCTTTGTTAAAAAGTCAGTTCAGGTCATGGGAAGACAAGCCACTTTCAGAAGCTTTTTATGCACTTTCACATTTGCTTGTGAACTCTTCTTTCTGAAACATTCAGGACGGCTCAGAGCTGCACCTGTCAGAGCCCTGGTTTCATGGACCGTTGGCTGAGGGCAGAATAACCGCTGAAAAACTCTTGCGTGATTTCTGCAAAGGGAGGGATGAAAAAGATGGAACCTTCCTGGTCCGAGAGAGTGAAACATTCATCAGAATCTACAATATCTCCCTCTGGTACTTACTCTGCCCAGCCTTTCACTATTCTCTTTTTTGAAATTCTTTCAGAAAAAAGGTTTGAAGCTCGTTCCTAAATTAATTTTCATTTCACATGTTAAAATTTTCCTCACACTGTTAATATTGTGGTTTGTTGATTTTCGTACTCTTTACTCTTTTGGTTGGTAGATTACCAACTTTTTATGTATTTTACATTGCATTGGACAAATGTTTAGCACGAGGCTTACATCTTATATTCACAAAGACAAATAATGCGAAAGAAAATGTCGATATAATAATATTCTGTGTGCTCTCTGTAGGACGAGCGAGAGAATTCAGCACTACAGAATTTTCTGTTCCTCAGAAAATGGTCAATGGTACTTCTACTTGACAAGCAAGCAGCGCTTTCCTAGTATGTGTGCCTTGATCAAGTATTACACACGTAATCTGATCAAGTATGATAGATTCAATCTGCGCCTCAACGGTTTCCTGCCTCGCCTCAATTTTGTGCCTTACCACCAAATAGGGTAAGAAGAAAAGATGAATTTCAAATTTAAACACTTACTCATATACATACAAATTCCAATGACAGATCATTGTTCTGTCACTGAAACTAGAAATATCTGGACACAAACATATCTGTGTTGTCATATTTAGGTGGTTTTACAGTAACCTGAGTCAAGCCGAAGCAGAAGACTATCTTCTGAGGATCCCTCGAGATGGAGCCTTCCTCGTCAGACAAAGAGAAGAGCCTGACACCTTTACCCTTTCCATCAGGTTCCTCAGTTTTTTCCTTTTCATTTCTTTACTGTACTCCTAACAGACACTTACTTTCCTCTCAGTATGTATTTTTATTTGTTTATTTGTTACTCAGAGTTGACGGGGATGTCGAACATTATCTGATTTACAAATACAACAGCAAGTATGTGTTGGCAGACGCCTACGAGTTTGGTAGCCTTGAGGACCTGGTTAGCTGTTTTCGTGACGAGCTTTTCTACGGCAAGACAAAACTACGCTACCCTGTAACACCACAGTTAGTGGAGCGCTTCTGTATGGTGAGAGAAGAGAGAATAGATAAGAGAAACAAATTAGCCACAGAACCTAAAAGAGATACAATAATTGTGACCATCTCTAAACTGTAGTTTTGTATAATTTTGTCTTTGCAGGTGGATATCTCAACATGTGACAGCGAACAGTACAGTGAGGTAAGTATGATGGGGCAAATATTTGTGCAATGGTCAATGGTCAGATTTCCCAAAAGTATTGGGAAATTTAGTGTAAGTTTATAATATTCTACAATTTATAACTTAAAATATATGAATTTCATTGTATTAGATCACAAAATATCACACCAAGTGGCATCATTTCTCAGACATTTTTAAAAAAATATTTAACTTTTTTTATTTTATTTTAATAGATGCATGAAGTCAGCTACCTTATATCTAAAATATTAAAGATAATTAATTCAAATAATTGATTTTACTATAATATATATAAAACGGAAAAAAAGTACGTATGTATATGTATAAACTGATTTGAGCTCAGTGATTCTTTCAGGTTGCTAAAGACAATCCTTTAGGCGACCAGTGTAAAGGTGTGGTGGACATCTCAAAGTGTACTGTTGGTAAGATTGTTTTGCCACTTGTGTGAATATGTTTTGTACACATACACACTAAGACTAGAAACTAAGCTAAGCTGTGACATGCATATAAAATCTCACCAATAAGATTATTCTCATTATTTTCAATAATCAATGCTCTATGAAAAAATCTCCCCTCGATTTACAAAATATAAAACTTTAAACCTCTCTTCCTTGTTGATTTTAATGGGTTCTCCTCAGCATGCAAAGCCAAGCATGCCAGGCCCCTCGTGGTGACCCTTTTGAATAGGGAGAATTTGAAGCTAATTGAGTTCACGTGTGAGATCGTGGAGCAGGTGGACCAATGGTACCAAGTGCTTCTGAACATCATCCAAAACGAGCAGAGTTTGGGGAAAGCGGTTTGTCTTTCTTTCCTCACTAACTCACATTCAATATCTGTTATTGTGCTTGATTATCAATAGTGTATCTTTCTCTTTATATTTCTATATGTTTGATGACCAATAGTTCCTGTGAATATCTATGCGCTGACAATATCTCCCTTACTTCTCGAAATAGAGAAGAGCAGAAATGGAGTCAAAAACCAATATAGCTGTTGAGATTTCAGACATGGTGGTATACTGCCAATCTATCAAGAAAAAGACTTTTGGTACGTAATTTACAGAAAATTACACAAATGAAACAAAAAATGTGGAACTAACTAAAATGAAAAGCAGCTGTACTTTATCATACACATCAGCATTAAACAAAACAATTTCAAGGCCACGTTCAAAACATTCCAGAAATGTTTTGAGGTAAGTGAACCTGACATTTCATTCCATTTATTATTCCATTCTGCACTTTTATGACCTCTCAGAAAATTACAACTACAAAGAGGTGCGTTCCGTTCCGGATAACATGGTTCCAAAAGAGGGGAATGAAACCGCTGTGGAGAAGTCAGACATTATTCTGGAGTATAACCGCAAAGCGCTGACCCGTGTGTATCCCTGCAGTGGGCGAGTTGATTCCTCTAACTTTGACCCTTGTCCTTCATGGAAACTAGGCTGCCAAATGGTGGCTCTCAACTTCCAAACTGCTGGTAAGTGAAAGAAGAGAAAATGTTACATGATTTGAATGAAGTATCTTAAAGCGGTCAAACGACGTTGCTAAAAAGAACATTATTTTGTGTATTTGGTGTAATGCAATGTGTTTATGTGGTTTAAGGTTCAAAAAACACATTATTTACCATATAATGTACATTATTGTTGCTCCTCTATGCCCCGCCTTTCTGAAACGCATCGATTTTTACAAAGCTCATCG